TAAAATATTCCGTGTAGTTTAGGAGATATCATTAAAAAAACGTAAAGGTCACTGACACGAGAATCCTTCATCACGTATGTAAATAAACATTTAAAGGAACACGTCATTTGCTCACAGAGCTGTCATAGCCGTTATATAACTGAATGTTGCTACATTCTAGCCTACAAGTCTTATTTTTATTTCGTCAGCAATCAGTAGCAATGATTCTACTCAACTTAATACTTATTCTGAATGTTTACAATCGTGTTTCCGTAAGCTATTACTACGTTGTTTGATTCTGCAAAGTTGTATTGACGTTTGCAGCATTTATTTGGTGTATATTGAATTTTTGATGCGTTAGTCTTTTTGCTGCAATAATAAGTATATTTATATATTATTTGTGATGGCAAATAATAAAAGAGCTTCTGGGAAGCGAGCTAAAAACGTCGCTTCCACGGCAACCGCTACACGAATATCAGATCTGAACTTTCTGATAAAAGCTTGGTTTCATCAGGTGATGACCATAATACTCAAATTGAACATGTAAAAAAGTGCATCCGAGAAAAGCTTAATAATGCATTATTTAATGAAAGTGATACTGACATTATGAATCCGTTTTCATGGCTATATTAATTATGGATAAAGACATATTGTTTATACATTTTTGAAAGAGAATGTAATGTGCAAATTATGCTGTAATTCTGTCAATATTTCTGAGACAAAACCCTTTGGATTATTTTCAACAATTTCTGTGAAATGTGAAAAGTGTAGTTTTCAAAACAGAATTCAATAATTCAAAGTTGATTGGTGAACACAAAAATGTTCCTGAATTAAATAGACGAATTGTTTATGCTATGCGATGCATTGGTTAAGGTCTAGGAACCTCTGGAAACATTTTGTGGTGTAATGGATCTAGGTAAACCTGTGACACAGAATGCTTATGACAAAAATCTGCAAACATATAAATGCAGCTTCAAAAACTGTCCGCCATTCAAAGTATAAAAATTGCTGCAGAAGAAGAGGCATGCAAAACTGCATCAAATTTCTGTCACCGTAAGTGGTGATGGAACATGGAAAACGAGAGGACATACTTCACATATTGGAGTATGTTCTGTAATTATGGAGCTGAAACAGGGAGGAAAGGTTTTAGATGTTGAAGTTTCTCTCGTCCACTTGTAAAGGATGTGATCTATGGAAAGCAAAAAAATCTGGGAAAAGCTTTCGAAGAGTGTCAAATGAAATATTTGCCAAATTGTCAGAAAAATCATATCGGTTCTTCAGGAAAAATGGAAGTCGATGGTATGATAAAAATGTTTCACAGATCAGAAGCTGAAAGAGGTCTCAAATGTATTAATTATATTGGTGATGACGATGATTCTAGAACATTCCCTGCTTATACGTGACAGCAAACCATATGATGATGAAACTTGTTTCAAAACTTGAATGTGTTTGGTCACGTACAAAAAAGAATGGGAACTCGACTGAAGAAAGCTAAAACAAGACTAAAGATCTAAAATGCTGGAGGATGATAAACCTTTATCAGGCAAAGGAGGACATGTCGTTCATGACGTGATGAACAGACGTGATGAAAAGCTGACTCAATACTATGGGAATGCAATTCGCTCAAATGGCTTTGTCAGTTGATGAAATGCGTAAGGGTATTTAGGTGCAGTTTATTTTCATACGAGATTCAACTGATGCTGAACCGTTACATACATTTTGTCCTGCTGGTGCAGACTCATAGTGTGTGTAAATATCAAACAGGCAGTTTCAAATGGCTCAGTAGGGTAAATTTCATCATAAAGTGAACTTTGCCTTCTTCAGTCATGGATGTTTATAAAACCTGTTTTTAAAAGCTTTATCAAGTCCAGATCTTTTGAAACGATGCCTTGGTAGCTTTACTCAGAATCCGAATGAATCTTTTAATTCCCTCATATGGCAGCTATGTCCGAAAACTTCTGGATCTGGGAAACGAATTGCAGAAATTGCTGTATATGAAGCAGCAATTTTATTTAACATGGGTCAAAAGGATAGGGTACCTGTCATGAGACAAATGGGTATCCATCCAGGTATGAATGCAATAAAATCTCAACTTTGCAGTGATATGAAACGTGTAAATACTGCTAAGAGAGCAGTGCAAAACACTATAGAAGCACGAAAACCAAGGAAAAGATCTAACAAGTTTAGAACATCAGCAAATGGATCCAGAAGGAATAGTGTATGAGCCTGGAAGTTTTTAATTTGTGTATATAAATATTATAAACAGTGACAGTGTTTTGTGATAATATTGAAATTATGGCTGTTGACAAAAGTTGTATCTTGTTCAAGAAACTGATTGTTAATATATTTTTATTCTCAGAAATATTTAGAGGATTATAAAACAGTTTGCACATTGCATTCTTTTTCATATATGTGAACAATGTATCTTTATGTGCAAAAATGTATCCTTGAAAACAGTTGACTGTGTCATTATCACTTTCATTAAACAATGCATTGTTCATTTTTTCTCAGATGCAGTTTCCTTATTATAGTAAATATATATTCTGTCATTAACTTTATTCTGTCAAAACTGTGTTCACAAACGTAAAAAGCATAAAATACAAATTAGGTACCAAATAGTATGAGTTAAGACTCATTAAGTCACAATGTTACTCATTTTTATAGCGATGGAAACTTTACAGGCCTTTATCTCAAAAGGTATTTTTTTTAATGCGTCGCGCATGATATTTCAAAAACTTTTTAATGTATCTTTCTGAAATTTGTACCATAGTATTATCATGTTACACACTAAATTAATTAAACTAAAATTTTGGTATTTTAATGAAATGTTTCATTTTTAAGGTATGTAAAAATCAAAATATAGCAAAAAAATTATATTTAATATATCTATCATAAAAAAATTAAAAATGCATGAATTGTGTAATATTTTTAGTTCAGTTATATTCTCAAACATTCTTCTGCATAATAAAAGAAAAATTAAACATTTTGGTACAAAACATTTCTTGTACATGTGGCGCGCAGTGTGCGTACAGATTAATTAGATGTGAAAATGTCTTATAATTTAACATTTGTTTTTTACAATTTTTATTATAATTTTCAATTTCAAGTACATTTAATTAAAGAATAGACTTAAATTAATAATGAACAAAATATTGAGTATTTTTGATAAGAATTAAAAAAGTTGCACAAGATTGAAAAAAGGTAAAAAAATTCATCTTTCGACTCATTCAAGGGTCGCGTGACCCCTTAATAAACAATAGATCTTTGCAGAGGTTTCGCAGTTGGAAATGTAAACGCTGATTTAGTACAAGTGTATCGTGAAAGAATTATTAGGAGACGCCGAAAACACGTCAACATTTAGTGAACTTAAGGAGGCAATAATTAAGGCTTTTCTCATAATAACAGACATAGCTCCTTCCGAAGCAGAATTATGTGAAAAGTGTTGGGTAGTATTTAACTTCACTTGTTTTACGAAATGTTGAGATTCTAAAGGTGTTGTACAGAAAAGCTGGATATTTAGAAGATATACATATATTTTATTACGTTATCTGGAGTTTCTTTTTATAATTTATTTTTTATTTATTTCTAATGGTAAATTACCAAAACAAAACTGTAGGCAGAGTAAGCAAAGACGAAAGAAAGCAGCAAAACTAAATTTTGTGTCTACAGTATAATCTCTAAATCTATTTTGTGTCTCACCTCCCAATATTTCTCCCAGAGTGATCTAGCGTTAAGTGCAGGGCACCTTCTCAGATGTGAGGCATCCATTTTCTCATGAAGGCTGCAAAATTTATAATTGTGGTTAGGACAGTGTTCATTCGGTGCAGATGTTTTAAAAGCATAAGATGGTCAGTAACAAGGCAAAACACAGCAACATATTTCTTTCTAGACTGTAAAGGAGTGTCAAAAATTATGTTAATCCATGCTTTATGACTGTTTCTTTCGGTAACTTCTTCATAAACACATCACTAAAGTAATTTTTATTACGCTTTGGCAGTGGAAAAGAGATGTGGTTGTCAGTTATTTAGAAAATACAGGCCCTTTTCTTTGCCAAAAAAAACCTACCTTATCATTTCCATGAAGAGTACAATGTTATGGTATCTATTGCATGGCAACTTGAAATCTAGACATAATCTGAATATCCAGGTTTTTTTCCTTTTTTTTTTTTTTTTTTTTTTTTTTTTTTAGATCAGATACACTGATTTAAGCGCATATACATTTCGTAACATATATATATATATAGAGATAGAGTTTATAACTTGTAAGGCCAGTATTTTAATTTTTGATAACTGTTAGACATTTTTATTTTCAATGCACTTAAACCTATCGATTTGATTGATAATTCAGCTTACTCCTTACCAGTAAAAAAAAGGTTTTAGAATCGCATTCAATTTGCAAATGATTTTTATTAGAAAATAGCGTTAAAGGAAGGTTCACACAGATAAATTCGTGAGCCTGAGCAGAGAGCTTTAGGTCAATCCTGAGTAGCGTAACTTACGTTCGAAAAAAAGTTACAATTCTTAGAAGGTTGTGTAGGAGCCATTTCTTCGAATTACTTCAAATATTCTTGTTCTCATGGATGAAACGAGATTTTGACAAAGGGTGGGATCGGTTTTATACCAGTCATCTTAGATAGTAGATTTCAGCTCTATTGTTGATGTAAAATGTCTCCCATTTGCATAAACTCTTCCTTACTAAGTCATTCCAAAGGTTCTCTATTGGGTTGAGGTCAGGTGATCTAGCTGGCCATTTCACAGTTTCAACATTGTTGACTTGGAACCAATTTTTTGTGCTGTTACTCGAATGGATCGATGCATTGTCTTGCTGATATTTCCAATTTTCTCCAGCAAGACATTCAGCATTTGGCAAAAGATGATTTGTTAGGACATTTTGGTATCCTTGTGAGTTCATTCTACCAGAAAGGAATGCAATTGAGCCAACACCATTGTAAGAAAAACAGCCCCAAGTCACGACAGACCCTCCACCTAATTGGCGCTAGGAGAATATTTCTTTTTCATTTCTTATATCATGCCAGTAGAAACTCCAGCCATCTGGTCCATCCAAATTCCATTTTTTTCGTCAGAAAAAATAATTTCTATCCATTGGTTGTCCCAGGTCATGACTTTCTGGCCAAAGTTCAAACGCTCTATTTTGTGTCTCTGCAGTAACTGAGGCTTAGTCAATTTTGCTGTATAAGTAAACCTTCCTGACCTTCTAATTCTGTTATAAATCGTTTTTTGACAAACTTTTAAACCTGTTGTCGGAATCAGTTTCCTGTTTGGGTACTTTCCTGTAGATACAAGTTGGCAAACTCTTCTTTCTTCACGCGAGGAGAAAGGTTTAGGTCTCACCCCAGTATTCTTTTGACCATAATTGTCTTTCAATGTAAAAAAATTTTGGACTACAGTCTTTGATCTTCCTATCTTTATCGCAATAGCACGACTACTCATTCCTGTTGAAGACAAAGCTTCGATCTTCTCCTATTTCACGATCAGTTAACTTCTTACCTTTCAAAATCTTCTACAAAGATCACCAATACCTTCGAAGAAACGTATGACAAATATGAAAATTGGAGCGTTGTCACGAAGCTAGTAGTTGCAAAGGTAATCACACGATTATATTGTATTTATTTTTTAAAAATGACTGGTGGCCTTAAAGTTTTTACTCAGGCAGAAATACTATGTAAATAACCACATGTTTCTCATAATTATGTATTTACAAATTATGTTTATAGCATTTATTTCTTATCAATGAACTTTAAAAAATAATATTATTTGAATCCCTTTTATTTAATTTTACATTTTCACAAAAATTTTTACTAGCCTTAAAGGTTTTACTCAGGCTGTACATATATATATATGAAATGTTGTATGATCTTAAATTCACTTAGTTCGAAAACAAGTCTTTCTAATACTTGCGAAATACCTGAAAAGTAAGATAATAATAATTTATTTACTAAAGAAATATTGATTATATTGTCTCCCAATATAAGTTTAGTAGAAGTATAAAAAAAGAGTGAACCCATATGAGAAAGTTTAATTCCGAAAATTGTGTTTTAAAGTAACTTGAAAGTAAATTATTAAAAATGTTTTACGGGGACTTGAATTAACAACATTTCAAACTTTGGAAAAGAAATTAAATTAAAAGCAAATAATTATCGATATTGATCGGAAATTAGTTGACTTTTCTAAGGGAACAAACCAACTCCCGTTCAATGAAGAATAATTAATAAATACGAAGGTGTTTCTTCTTTTACTCAAGCAAGAATGGTTATGCCAAACTGGAAAATGAGATTAGGCCAAAAAAATTTTCTACATAAATTGCTTTTCACTCAAAAATTTTATTAGCAAAAATGCTTAATTCAGAATGAGTTCTTTGGTACTCTACTTTGGTTCTAAATCCCATCACTTCATCATATATATATATATATGTGTGTGTGTGTAATAAATATGTCTGTATAACGCAAAGAATGTGTAACAGAATTCCAGCTTTATTTTGTGACAACCTCGTAATACTTCTCTTTAATTTGTTTAATACCTTTTTGATCCAAACATAGTAACATTAGAGTACTTAGGCTCATTAATCTGCATTATTTCGATACTATGAACATAGAACTAAACTTATTTTCGTTCTGTGAATTGGATTCACAATGCTGTTTCAATACTTCAGCTTAACAGTTATATCCTTTAAAAATTACATTGGTGGTTTTTCACATTTTTCTAATAACATGTTTAAGGTTGTAAAGTTGCGCACTTCCAACCTGCACGCAACAAAGTGGTAACTGCTGAGAACTAGAAATAGCCCAAAGTCTTGAGAAGGGTTTAAATCCCTTTTATTCAACTTTAGAAATTACAAATGCGTGCTCTTGACGCTCACAAACTACGCCGACCCGGCGGTAAATAAAAAAAATAAGAAACTAAAAAGAATAATAACAAGTGACTAACTACGAGGCTCTCTAAACGTAACTAACCTCACCGCGTTCTACAATACCGCTGATAATTCAGCAAACTTGAATATTACGTTGAAAGATTAACAATTTCCGAGGCAAGCACACAGGCCGAAACGCGTGGTTCTTCAATTTCTAACTAGCCACCTCCACGCTCGTGAAGTAAGAAAAGCACCCTTTCGAACTCGTTTCCTTCTATTTAACTCAGATTACTTCCGCTGATAATTTGAATCCTTGCGCGTTCTACTAAAATTTACATACTCTGGCATTGGCAGTTCCAGGGGAAAGTAAGGCTTGACAGGAAAGATAGTTTAAACTTAAAATAAATGTTAGTTAAAATAAATATAAACCCTACATTTGCCGCTGCCAGAATTTGGAAAACTTGGAAGCAGGTCCTACAAACGACCTGTTGAAAGTTTCTACAATTCTGAACTAACTTTTAAGAGCCTCGTTTACATAAAAAAAAATCTTATGTAACAAAAATAAATTTCTGTAGTATACTTATTTAATTCTCTCTTCTTACAGCAACTTTTCCTGGACTTCATCAATCAATCTTGTTTCTTCCTTCCAGCATCTGGAAGGAATAAGTATCAGTATCTTTCTAAATACATTATAATTTACACTTTCTTGACACTGAATAAATTTTTGTTTTTAAACGATTTCGTTTTCCTTAGTTACTGCTTAATTCACATTCATTCAAGTATTCAAACATTAATTTAACTTTACCCTGGCTCTCCACCATGTGTGGTGTCAAACGGGAATATTCGTGTTTTAGTCTTACAACACTTCCCCTAACCACCATGATTTGTTAGAATTCAACGACCAAATAGACACACCTTACTCGACATTCTACAACTCGATGAGCTACTTTAACACTCTTAATATTCAAGTGTAGGTGGAGAACCCTACAAAACACATTCATTCTAACTTCCCCCTCATTCATCTTTAGAACATGCAGGCTTTCGCTCTAAAGCATGATTTTATCTACAGTTTAATACTTAAATTTTGAATTCATTGCTTTTGAAGCATTTACTTTTAGCATCTAAAATTTTATGCTTCTAGACTAAATTCTACTTTTACATAACTTTGAAGTTTTTACGTATATTTACAAAATTCTAATACATATCATTTTTACAATTTACCATAAAATGAATAAGAGAAAAATAAATTTTTACTTTACTCATTCTTCGCCAAGCTGGCGGCACTGAAACTAAATTTCTTATTAATACAAGAATACGAAGTTATTTTTATCTTCGGCCAAATTTTGGCTTTAACATAAAAAAAAATTAGTCTTTCGACCAACAGAAACTGCTTGTTCTTAGATTTTATACTTAAAGAAAATAATACTTTTGCCTTAGCTAATTAAGTAAAACAAAACTAAGTCTCAACCGAGACATATTGACTTTCGTCAAAACATAGAACTTCGTATTTATGCATAACATTTCGGAACAAAAGAAAAAAAAATTTATAGAAGATTTTAACTTATCTTTGAGTTTTCGATGATTGGAAACTCCGTCATTCTTTTCTGGCAGAACTTGCTCCCAAGTTATAGGTTTCATGGACGTCAATCTTCTCCTTACTGACCTCCGAGTGTCGTCCACGTTAATTTTTCTTTTGCGTCCTCTGCATGCTGGCCTCTTGGAGTGGTAGTCGTCGGGTTGCTTGTCTTTTCCGTTTTTCCCCTGGACGGCTGGTCTTGACGTCCTCCGGTCTGGAGTCCTTCTTGAATTTCTTCTGTTGTGGTGGTCTTTTCGTTCCTGCCTGGTCGTTTCAGTTTTCGGGAACGGCGGCCTTGTTTGCACCTGACTCTGTGGCCCTGGTGCGCGTTCTCCTTGATGTAGTAATTTCTACCTGCGATACGTTTGTAGGTGGTGTTTTCCTCTTTACCACGGTTTCTTTACGCGGCGGCTTTGCTTTCTTGTTTTTCTTAAATGCTGGAGTTTGAAAGTTTTCGTTTCTTCTTTTCGGTACCGTCGTCATGGGTTGTAGAAGGGCTAGGTCTCTCTTCAGTTCTCTGCTTCTTGGGTGGTGGAACGGTTGACGTTACTTCTGGACCTTCTACTTCGTTTAGACTTGAGTCCTGCAAGAAACTTTTAAGGATTTCAAAATCATTTTGGATTATAGTATTTTTTCACCTGGTCGGGACTTGCTTTACAGATTTCCCCTCTCTCGTTCTTAAGGTACAATACGACTCCTTTGATTTCCTGAATTACATAGGGGCCTTCAAATTTTGGAGCTAACTTTGCTTTGCCAGTAAAATTGTCTGGGGCACTTGATAAAGAAAATTTCCGCTTCAATACTTTATCCCCAACTTTAAAATCTGCTTCACGGCGTTTTCTATCATAATATACTTTTGCCTATTTCTTGCCGTATCCGAGCTTTTAAGCGCCTGATCAATAAGTTTTTGCACATCTTTTGTTTAAATTCTTGCTCTCTTTGTTGCACAAAGAATAATTTATCTAAAGGCGTAATTAACTTTCTGCCTAAAAATAATTCTGCTGGGTTTTTCCCGTAGTATCGTGATTTGCCGTTCTTAAAGCATAAGCTAATTCATTTATGTAGCCATCCCAGCGCTTGTGATGTGTGCTAACGTAACTGCGAATTATTTTTACAATGTTTTTATTAACTCTTTCTGCTATGTTTGCCTGTGGTCTATACGGAACCATTTTGATATGGCGTATGCCAAGTCCATTGCATATGTTTTCAAATATTTGACTAATGAATTGTTTTCCGTTATCACTAATGACTTTTATCGGTGCACCGTATTTTAAAATGTATCTGTGTAAGAATGCATCTGCGACTGTTTTGGCTGACGCGCGTTTAAGTGGAACAATTTCTGTCCATTTTGAAAAATGATCTACTATTACTAAAAGAAAACGATTTTTATTTAACTCGCTCTGGGGAAAAGGGACCAAGAAGATCTATGCCTAAAATTTCATTCGGAAATGTAGCGCGAATGCTATTTAAGTACCCGGCCGGGCTGTAATTAATATCATTTATTAACTGACATTGATTGCAGGACCTGACATACGCCGTTACTATTTTGTATAATTGCGGGAAATATACCGCCTCGCGTACCCTTTTTAAAGTCTTTCTGACCCCTAAATGACCCGCTGTTTTTTTCGCGTCGTGTAATTCCTTCAAAATGCTTAATCGAAGCGAGGCTGGGATGACTGGTTTGTACTCAAGATTTTCGTTTGTTGTTTTCGTATAAAATAATAAATTATCTATTATTTCATAGTTTTTTGCTCTATTTCTTATCGCATCGATATCTGTGTGCTCAAAGCTTTCGGGGTCTTTCAAATAAGCATAGATATTTCCAAATTCAGGATCAGCTTTCAGTTCAGTAATAACCGTATCTCTAGAATCTAAAATTTTTGAAGTCAACACAGCGCATTTAAGTTCATTACCTTCATCGTCCAGTTTTATATACGAGAAAGTGCGTCAGCTACATTGTTTTCCTTACCCGGTTTATATTTTATTATGATATTATATTCTTGGAGT